ACTCAGTTAGGGGTGCGTCGTAGTCATAACTAGTGACCACAGTATCCCCGTTCATAAACCCAAAGTTAGTGCCACCGAAAAACATGTAGAAATTGATGGATGAGTTTGCTTTGAACAGTATGTCTGTCACCTCCTTGTCACCGCTTATATAGCGGTCAGGGATAAATATGTAAACAATTGTTACTAATTTGCTATAACATTAAAAATTGATATAGAATTTAAAAGTATTTTTTGTTATAATTTATAAAATTATTTTAATATTTTAAGCATTTATCCCAAATGTGGTTTATCAACAAATTCAACCTGGCCGGTCGATGAATGCAATTCAAACACTAATATTTCATTTTTGCCCGTTTTTAGTAAAGGTGCAGGGATATACAGTGTTAGTTGGGGTCCTATGTTGTAATAGCGGCCTATATTGAAATCGTTGATAAATACATTTCCCTTCGACCAACCGTCCAGTCGTATGAATGTATCCTTCGGACTGTCCTTAATATCTAATTCCAACCGATAAACGGCTGGACTTTTGATGCCTTCAACGAACGGCTTTCCCTTCAATTGAGTTAATTGTTTAACAAATGGTTCTTTGAAATCAAGTGAAAATGTCTCGATATTTGTGGCAACTTTTGTATCGATACTGATATCTCCGTTAAGACCTCTTCGGGCAGTATTCATGTCCCCACCATTGGGTCGACCCATGTTTTCGACGATTATATCCAACGTATGAGTCGTTGTGTTTGCAAATTGTGTGTCATTTAAGTCCTGATTATAGTCTTTATTACTCTCGAAGACAGCGACCTCTTTATAACAAATGGTTCTTTGAAATCAAGTGAAAATGTCTCGATATTTGTGGCAACTTTTGTATCGATACTGATATCTCCGTTAAGACCTCTTCGGGCGGTATTCATAACAGCCCCACCATTGGGTCGACCCATGTTTTCGACGATTATATCCAACGTATGAGTCGTTGTGTTTGCAAATTGTGTGTCAATTAAGTCCTGATTATAGTCGTTATTACTCTCGAAGACAGCGACCTCTTTGTTGTCCACGAGAATGACTGCCCGATCAGCGGCACCACCTGTTTATACAAATGTAATTAAAACACATTAATATGGAAATAAAAAAATAATTATTTAATTAACTCATAATTACCGGTGAGTTTCAAATGTTTAAATTTGTTGAGTTTATTGAGTCTATAGAGAATGAACCCATAGTGTTGTCCCGTTTTGTTTGTTATGTTTAATAACTCCATGTGTTGTGGCTTTTCGGTGACGATTGGCTTCATTTGTCTCAACACGTCCTCTAAACTCAAGTAATCCTTAACTTTGAGTTTGCCGTAAGAAACCGGTGTTACGTATGTCGGAGGTTTAGGCACCAAAAGTTGTGGTAAACCTCTCTCTTTCGTAAACTTCACAATCAATTCCTTAGTTTTCCAATATTTTGCGGTATAATTGCCTTAAAAATCAAATAAATATTTATTAATAACTCTCATACCACATACCAAGTAAAACATACCCGTTTCAGATAGTGGTGCATCATAATCATAACTGGTCACCACTCGGCCCCCATTCATAAACCCAAAGTTAGTGCCACCGAAAAACATATAGAAATTAACCGATGAATTGGCCTTGAACAGTACATCGGTGATCTCCTTTTCAAAATAGTTGACATCCATAGTGTGGTGACCCTTCTCCCCCCACTGATCAAGCCACCCTGGCCAGAATTCAGTGACGTGTAGGGGTTTATTAGGCTGTGCCTGGCGTAAGGCAGTCAAGGATTTCAATGAATCCGAGTTAACGTTATCGGTCTCTAAGACACCTGTAAATACATGATATTTATTATAATAAGTGTTTTCTAATAGAAACTTTCAAACATTTACTGTTGTATGAATAGATTATAAATATAAATTACTATTATTATATTATGTAATACAGTACTAATCTAGTAAGAATTAACTAATTTTGGTATAGATATATTAATATAAATTTATAAATTAGTATCGTAATAAGATTTTAAAATGTAAGCCGTACCTGGTAATATATGTTTCATAGCCTCCACTGGATGGGATCCGAAATCACAATTAATAAGTAATTCTTTGAATCCGTGGGAATCTAAGGTATTCTTCATGAACTGGAAGTACTCCTTATCGTTGTCGTTTTGAATGCCTCCGAACTCGTTCTCAAACTGCAGGGCTATAATAGGCCCTCCTTTCTGAAACTGGTAGTCATCGATAAGGGATAACACTTTCGTATAGTATTTGCCCACAGCTTCCAGATATGGCTTAT